GGTAAAAAGAATGTATCAGGCAACGTACTGCTTCCTTTTGTACACAGCAGTTATCACTCAAGCTGTTTAGCTCAATGGATCAATCTTAAAATTCCTGATGGTCACTGCCTGTTGTTACAGCTCTCTTATTTGATGACTTTATACATTACTTAATATGATTTTGGAGAGCAATTTGATAAGTGCTCATCCAGCACTACCTTTCTTTGTGTATCTCTTCACAAAGTAAAACACTCACTATAAACTTAAGTCAAGATGATGGAGCAGCTCAGGCCTTTGGGTGTTAAAACACTGGCTCAGTTTTCAAATTATACAGCAAAAAGAGAAGAAGATTCCAGGGAAATAGTGTTCATAGAAACAGAAACGCATAGCTCTACTTCCACATGTGCAGACTTGACAGTATCTGATTTTGGTGCAGTGTAAGTTTGGGATTATGAATCAGCATAACTTGTTTAGGAGACTGCTCTTCATAGCATGAAGTGCCCTTTAGACTGAGTGGAACTGAAGTGCACCATTAATCATTGCATTCCGCTCTCTGAGATATGCTTCTATGTGTTAGTTTGCCAGCACTGATCTACTTCTTGTAGATGCTTTTTGAAGTACAGATCCAGCAAAGTACTTAGGTTCTTTATACAGAGCTTGGAAAATTAGATGCATAGAAGAAAGAGCAAAAATGACAAAATTTTGAGAACATCCCAGAGATCTGTTCTTCCACCACCAAATTTCTGAAGGACCTGAAACCGGATTTCTGGTTTCTTTAAAAACCTGGCCCCTGAAGGAGATGGTGGTTGCAAACATGGTCTCTTATTATTTGGCAGTTTAGTGTTGAAGCCAGATCACTGTACAGAAAGGAACACAAATTCCTGGGCCCAGAACATAAAACTAGGGACAGCTTTGGGGTTGCACAAAGGTCTAGCACTGGTCTCCCAAAAAAACCCCAACCTTACCCCTTCCCATGCCCCTAACTTTCCCTCAGCTGTTTACAGTCCTGTATAGGTTTTTTATGTGGCCCCTCATACCTAAAGGTCCTTATTCAGTGTCCCACTTTCTCTTTATTAAAAAAATTTCTGAAGAATAGGCAAACAGCCCATTCTAACAAGCTTTTAAATAACAAATCATGCCTAAAAGCTGTAGTTAAAAACTTTCCCCATAAACATTGTGGCCTACTTCTGTATCTTTTCCTTGACTGTGAACAGGACTTCCTCCCCAGTTGTGCTCTGGAGTCAGACCACAGCCTGGTAAGGGTAGCACGCTACGAAAATGTGCATCTACATCTGCTCAGCATACTCCTAATTAATGTCCTTGCATATGCTTTTGTGTAGATTTTTTCTGTAATCTCTCTAGATGACCAGCTTTGCAGAGACAAAACCTTCATATCTTATTTTGTTCAATACAGCTTTTTTTTTTGTGTACAAATCATACAGAGGGATCAAGCTGAAGAGGAGTACAAAACTTGGCCCACAATGCGTATCTAATAGAGAGAAGGATGAAATCCAGCTTCTCCACATAACCGAATACATCTTGCAAGGGCTAGAGTCAGACGGTGCTAGTCAGAGGAGTGAAGTTAAAATGAAAGTGGGGGCTTTTTTGAGTGTGTTTTCATTCATGGATTATGCCTACTATAAATAGAATTCACAGTATTCACTAACTCCTCCTTTATATTTTCTAGCTACTAGTGGATGCAACTTACTCCAGCAGCTGTGGGTTTATAAGAAACTGCACGTTATCTGGCTTATCTGTTGAAACTTAGTAAATACTGTAACTTATCACCAAATGTTTTCTTGTATTGCTCAGTTCTTAGATACTGTTCTTGCTGCCGCTTTTGAAAGCAATAAGAGAAATTTTCCACATAAATAGTTGCCATATGTTACAAAAAATATTTTAAGCAGTTTGTTTTTTATATAAATTGTGGATTTGGTGTTTTTGTTGTATAAAACAAAACTGTATTAAAGCTTATGAGAATGTTTGGGAGGTTGATCCATCAAGAGGTAAGGAGCTCCTTCAGCTCCACACCTTTGAGATGGTTGATATCCCTGAGAATCAGGCAGTCTTGTGTTCATGTTAATGGTATTTTACTAGTTGTAGTATTGGAAAAACATATCACGTGTATGAGGTATTACATAGGCCAAGCTGCTAAAAGCTGAATTAGTTGTTTGTTTTGATTAGGGCATTAGTGATTTCAGAATGAAGAAAGGTATCATATGTGTTAGAATTATCACTGACTTTCAGATTTTTGAGAGAACTTTCTGTAGTCAGGATCATTCCTGTTTTCTGCTTCACTTACTCCAAAAATTTGTAATAATGTTGGAGCACCTTGATTTATTTTTGTTTCTGTAACCAATTTAGTAGGATGTTAATAAATCATACTTGCTAAAGGTCATAGAGCACCCTGACTTTTTCTCAGGGGTTGTAAGCATCTTTCTTCAAAGGTTGTTAGTGACAGCTGAAATAAGTCTAGCTGCTGTAGTGATCTCTGCTTTTTACACTTGCCAAAATGGCAACTATCAAGGCTTCCATCTGCTAGAAGCCTTATTTATCACCCTTACAATCTGGCTGGTAGTTGCACAGTGTTAAAGTTGTTTACCAGTTACCTGCTTACACTGTACAACACTGTTGTATGGCTATTATGCAAGACACTGGGGCAGAGAAAGGGGTAAGCTGATGGAATTCATTTTATAGCTGGAAGTTGATTCTTAAAAGCAGTTTTTAGTAGACAGATGTGCAGCATAAATGTTATGCTTTAGCATGAATGTGGAGACTGCAAACCACATGTCCTCCATAAAACAACTTTTAAAAACAAGGAAACACAGTATTTACTGGGTAAAATAAATAACTGGAAGGAAATGGTATCAGTGTGGTGTTTTCTCCCTCAGAGGCAGTGGTTCAGGACAGCTCTGCCAGTCAGATCTCAACTATGTCTCATGGTCCCACCATATGTATGCAGGATGCAATACAGATGGATTAGGATCTTGAAAAATGTGGGAGTACAGTAATTCCTGGCCAACCTGTAATTCCTGACTGCAGTTCTGCAGCACTTCCCAGTCTGGTGCAGTGTGTACAGAGATTTGATGGGAAGGAACATGGAGGTTCCAGGAAGAGCTGGAAAAATTGGATCAATAAATCAGTTACCATGCAAAATATCCTCAGCTGTTGTACATGACAGAATAAGGATAGAGGCTGAAAGAAAAACAGCTTTTATACTGGGCAAAAATAAGCTCCTGTTTTTTTGAAATCCAGCTATTTTGGTTCTGTATTGGTTTAAGAACTTTGGAACTTGCTTAACATGTCAGTGGGAATCAATTCATTGCTGATTAATTTCATAGAGATCTAATATGCTTTACTTTACACCTGAAATAACCAGCATTTAGTTCAAGTTGCTGGGAAAACAGCGGTTTACAGCAGCAGTAATATTTTTCCATGATTATAAAATGGAGAGGAAGATGACAAAGGATGCTCATTATTGGTGCCGTAATCATAAACGCCTAGGGCAGTAAGAACTTCTCTTATAGAGAAATGGATATGGAGTGAATTTCTCATGATTGCTCCTTGAGCTAATGACACACCAAGTACCCACAGTGTGGTCAGTGCTACCCAGACAAAACAGGCTGTTCTCCCCTACAGAAGTGTAAGGTAAAATTGGCTTATATAGACCTTGCATTCAATTTAAGCTCAGTTGTCTGTTCATTTACAGTAATCTCTTTTTAAAGTCATTTTGCTTACTGCAAAATGATTCAAACCACCATAGCGTGAGGAAAAACACTGACAGCTGAGCAAAGCTTGCTCTGCATAGTAACTGACACATCTTGGCTTTTTTTTTTTTTTTTTTTAATGCCCCTGTTACGTTTCTTTCATCTTGCAAACATTGCTCTCCATGCTCAGTTTGCTGATTTTTAACTGAGACCCCCTCTAGTGCAGTGGATGTGTAAGAATTTGTAGGGTTACTCTGAGTTTTTTAAATGGAATTACAAGCTGGCCACATACCAAATTCTGCTATATACTTGCGAATTTGTATCTTTGCTTACTCTGTACCAAGGGAAATACTTGAAATTGCTATGTGTAAACCCTCATTTGAGGTAAATCAACATTGCTCTACTGAGCTGAGTATAACTGAGTCTTAAGTTAACTGAGAATTTGAGTTCATTGATGTAAATTTTTACAGGCTCTTGGAACAATAATAAATTCCTGGAAGACAAGATATTGTGTATGAACATCAGCTGATGTTTCTGTCTATAATTTCACAGACTTCAGGATTTACTGTCTTTCTCTAAGTGTTGGGGTACTATTTCTCTTTGAGAATTTTTTGAGCTGATTTTACTAAGACCAGCTTTTAGAATTTGAAAATATGATTTTTTGCTTAGTTAGCATTGGGGTTTAATTAAAATTGCTTTAACAAAAAAATTGCTTTAACAAAAAAATTGCTCTCTCTCTTAAATTACAGATTTCTTTTTAACTTGTGTTGGGAGAAAAAAAAAAGAAGCCATGCTAAAGGCTGCAGTAAATCTACTTTGAATTACTGCAGTACATGCACTGAAAAATCCTTTCCTCCTTAGATTTTATGAGGATACGTCTGCAATGTCTAGATTGCTGCCTAGAGCAAGGAAGATTATGTAGATTTATCAGTAGATGAGAACCTAACTAATAGCTGAGAGAGATTTACTGTTTTGTTTACTCTTGGGTTTGTTATTTCAGCCATTGACAGACTGAAGATGGAGTGAAGTCAAGAGATCATCCTACTTGTATTCATTGTTTGTTACTTGCACTTCAGTCAGTGAAGCAAATCTTAGGTTTGTTATATAGCTATACAGGGATTTTGGATGGAAAAATCAATTTTCTTATAAAGTTCAAAAATAGTGTTCCAAATTCTTAAGTCCTTCCGTGGAAAAACTTCCTGCTGAGGACTTTGCCTGAGAAAGCACGCCACAGGTAGGTCAGTTAGAGCAAACTTGACTTTTTCTGAGTTCTCTAGTTACCAGAGGATGGTGAGCCTAGCCCATCCTTCACTTGCCTTGCCCCCTTTCATTCTGGAAAGAGAGTAATACTTCAGTCAAAGACAATGGAGGGTAGAGAACTCCAGGATATTTTTTCATCTTTTGTGAATATCAGAAACTGGAAAAGAGATCATGATGTGCCATGCTGCAAGAGAGGCCACAGTAGGAGTTCCACTATATTTTACCTAGCTGCAAAGCTTCCTAAAGCTGATGCTGTGTGAATGCTTTGGTCTTTATACAACAGGAATTGTTTGTTTAAAATGATGGGGGAAAGGAATGAGAAGGAAGGGTATATATTGTTGAAATAAGATTCTGAGTATTAAAGTGTGCAGTCACGAGGTCCTAGCCAAAAGAATGGCTGCAGTTCATGCTTTCCCAGCAGTGGTTGCTCATTGTTTCCGTTCATGCTAACATTTCCTCTCAGGACACAGCTGGTCTTCCTTCTTTCTGAGAAATGGCATTGCTCACGTTGTGGTGTATTGGCACTGGGGAGGCCAAACAGTAACTGTGGAAGAACCAAGTAAGCCCCAGCTCAAGCTGACTGCAATCAGTTCTGTGGAAGGAAGCACATTCCCATCTCAGCAGTTGCAAAAAGCGGTAGTACTGGCAGTAAGAAACCCATCCACCAAGGTTACTTGCATCATCCGTTACAGATGCTGCTCACCCAAATCAATGCATCATTCAGGCAAACAAAGGCAGTATGAGCAGCAAGGACACCAGATTCAGTCCTGTGATAGAGCAAATAAAATACATTTTTAATTGTCAGAGAACAGGCCAGGACTTTGTTTCATACGTGAGGTTTTTTTCCCTGCGTAGCGAAGGCCTGTCTTTTATGTGTAACTCCAAATGGCATGAATAACCTGGAGTGGTGTGCCTCTAGCCCTAGCCATCACATGTACAAATTTGCAGGACACCACTGCTGTCCCCCTCTGTTCAGGACAGCTGCAGCCTTTTACACCTATCACTCTGTTTTGACCCACACCACCCCCTTTATGGCATCTCGATGTCTTTTTGGTCAACCTTGTTGCACAATACAAAAGTAACTTAGCAGCCCACAGGGTTTTCAGCTGCTCGACGGGCCTTGCTCTTTGTTTCCAGAACTGTGCTCTTTTTGTCCTGCCTCCCTTTCAGTGGGAAAGACCCAGGTATGTTCTTATCCCAGCATCTGTAACACATTGAAAAGAAAACCCTTTGCGTGCTGAAACTAGGAGTCAGCAACAACAAGCTGAAAAATGAAATGGCTTTAAGAAGAAACATGGGTCCTTAGTCTTAGTACCCAGTGGGTCTGAACTGCCAGCCCTGTGTGAAATGGGGTGGGTTTTTTCCTTTTGTCCTCCCTTGCAGTGTACACTTCCACAGCAGAAGGTGCAGATGGTCCCTGGCAGCTCTTGCTGCAGAGACCCTGGGAAGCTGTAGGAGCTCTGACTCACCCTGTAGTAGCAATGCAGCCTCACAGCTCCTCAGGACCCTCTGGAACCACTCACTGGCTGCTTTGCTGTTTGTGGTCTCCTCGGTGCATCTGCTACTTTTGTGGGTCATGGCCTGCTTCAAAGATCTCTAATCAAAATTTTCAATTTCTATGTTTGTGGGTACTTAAAAATGCATTTACTTTGCTTGCTAAAACCCCTTTCAGATTGCCCTGGAACAGAAATTCCAAGTTGGTGTTCAGTTCTGAAAGAGAGCTTGAGCTGACAGTGAACAAATAATGAGAATGGTGGTTAAGGAGTTGCAGAATAACTGGGAAATAAAATAAAGGAGGCACAAAACCCATAATAAAGCTATTGCCACAAATGAAACAGATTAAAATATGCATGTGGTGTTATTCAATAAAATATTAATGTTAGCCTCTCAACATTTTGCAAGGTTTGACTACGGCTGTGCTCCAGTTCTGTGTCAGTGTAATACAAACACCATCCGGCTGGCTGCCTCACGAGGAACTGCAATCGCATACTGTGGATTCTTTGGAAATTTCTACCCAAATCATTTGCTCCTGCAGTCAGATAGTGAGTGTTTTCAATGGCACTTGTGCGTACATGTCCATTCAGAGGATACAAGAGGAATTGTGTGAACCAGAATAAACCTGAGGATCTGATCAAAGAAAACTGTTCCTTGCAGTCAGCTTTCCTCTCCACAGGCAGCTACAGTCATAGGCTTTTCCCCATGGATCATTTAACTCCTCTCGTTTTGCGAGTTTTGTCCTAAAATTCCTATGTGTGTTTTCCTTAGTTCTTCCATTCACTGTAACTTTAAGGTTGTATATAAATAACAAAATCAATATGAACTGCACAGATTTTAGGGTCACTTTTTTTACTGATTGGAAAATGTAAGTAGAACAATTACAAGTGGAAGTACCATTTATTAAATCAATGCATATTATGTAATCATTTACAATCAGTTGTACTTAGCTGCTCATAGTACTAGGCACTGTACAACAATACTTTAAATAGTGCCATGTACTGTACAGTTACATATTAAAGAACCATGCCAGAGTGCTTACAGTCTGAAAGGTGCATGTGTGCAGAGATAGAAAGATGAAGGCCCTCATTGTTTGGAGGCTCAGTGACAGGTATCTTCTGTTTGTAATGTTTTATTAAAAAAAAAAAAATCCTAATATTTTTTATTTTAATACAGTTTGTCATTTGACTTTGTAGGTCTTGTTCCAACTGGGCAGGAACCAAAGATGTAAAAAAATAAGAAGCATAGGGAATAAGCTTAATTTCAGATTTTATTACCGTTACATTTTTTAGAGTTTTGGAGTTTAATGTGGAATAATATACTTTTAAAATAACTGCTTCTATAGGACATACATAAATGTTTGGGTCTCCCACACAATAGTTTGATGGCCGTTCCTTTTGGCTAATTTATGAGGAAGTCCTACTACTGAATAGCTTGAACAATATAGCAGCCAGATGGTTTTTGATAAAACATTAATGAGAGCAGATGGTTTGTAATAAACTATTATGGAAAAAGGCTTTTGAGACATGCAAGAAACATTATCTATTCCTAAGTCTTCATTTATCATTACTGTAAAAGAAATTAAGTTCTGTGGCTGCCATCTAATTCACAATTTAAAGTTAGAAGCACTTAGTTCATGCAGCTTCATGCAAACTGTCCTCCATATTATTGTTAGAGACATCACCAGATGACTTCTTGGATAACCACAATCTATTAGACATGATCCTAGCTTACCCTTTCAGAGATGATTTTCTTAAAATCATGGGAAAATAATCAAATAATCACAAGGTTTTTATAGGCAGATCTTTAGAAAGTTACAGCTACCCTACACACAATTGCAGGGATAAGAGCTTTTACAGTGACAGAGGGGAGCCCTGTGCCACAACATATGTACTACAGAAAGGTAGATCTGGTACTATTCCCTCCTGTGCCAGTGTCAATACTCGAGGCACCAAGACCTGACTGAGTTACAGCAAACAGGCTGTTCTACTGAACAGCTCTGCCTCCTTCTGCATCTCAGTGTGGCGCTCTCCAGTTGTCCTTCCAAGGGACTAAGAGGTTCAGAAGTGAACTCTTTTTTTCCTCATATTGGTCCCTAAAGGGGAAGGGGACACGCACCTGACAATAAAATACAGCCTCTCAATAGTGGCCAAACTTGTCTCACAGGCAAAATCTTCAGGTGGTTAAAGATGTCCCATTCCTATCGCTGCCGTCAAAAGCCAAGTGGACAGAAGCTCACATAAATGGGTAGGGAAATGCAGCAGAATAACTTTCTGGATGTTTTGAACTCACACAGTCGGTCTCTCCTGGCTTACTGCACCCTCCCGCTGGTCTCTCCTAAGCAGGACACAGGAACTTGCTGTTTTCTAAGCCTGTCACTAGCTGCTGGCACTGTGGCAGGGCTGATGACAGCCCTACCAGCAGGAGAGGAGAAAGCTGTTGTTTGCAACAGGAAATGTTTTGGGGGATTGAATTGTATAGGCAAAAACTACGGAGCATCCCATCAAAACAGGAGAAGAATTTTAATGTGAAATATAAATGAGGCTGTTTAGTTGATTTGAAAGAAACAAACAAACAGTGTAACTCCGATCTTTTATTCTTGTGAAAGGAAATGGGGGGAAAAGAAGTTCCTTCTTTTGCTGGTGATTTGGCTTATATTGCTGGACACCTCTAAAAAGATTTGCTACCCTAAGTATCGTTCTTTTCTAAATAGAAGCCCAAAATAGTTTCACGCTTTCTTCCCATTTCCTCCGCAGAACTGAAGCCAGCAGACCCTTCTCCAGCCAGTGTGAGGGTTTAAAAAAAGCCTAGCATGTAGCAACAGAGAGTTTTGGACAACCTCCCGATGAGTCAATATACAGGCTGAATTTCAGTGAGCACTTTCTAGCCAGGATGGATGCAGCCCGAAACAACTCAATGGTGGCTACAAGGCATTATATTATGGTTAGTACTGCTGTTAACACTGACGCCGTGAAAACATTTAGAGAAGTTTTTTAAGATGGTGAGACCACAAAAAAAAAAAACAACAAACATTTAAGAAATTCCCCTTTGCAGCCAATTTTGCATTTACATCCTAATGTCAATGTTTGAAAAAAATATGGCCAGATTATGCCATCGTACAAAAATCCCCTCTAATGCCCAACGTTTATAGGATGTTAAGACCTTTTCTGTACTTGATAGGAATAATCATTCTGCAATGCTGACATCTTGTGGTGACCTGCTCAATGGTTTCATGTAGATATCGCACCTGAAGAATTTCACACAGAGGTGTTCAAAGAACATACAACTACTGTGTTGTTTGTTTGGTTTTTTTCCCCCTCTTAGACTATCTTTTGTGTTAGTACTCACTTACTATGCACATTACTAATTTTTTTAAAGTTTTGGCTGTGAAGTTCTCATGTCGATTGTCTCATTTATCTAAATGAGGTAGCCAAATCTTGTCCCATATTGAAAACAGTTTGTCCCAAAGGCAAGTTTCTAATCTTCTAATGCAGAAGTGATGCACTTGATGCTTCAGCTCAGGAGATGGAGTGCGTGGCAGACAGATCCCAAAGGCAGACCATACTCACTGTATTTCTCTGATATGATGTTCTCCCGGCTGACATCCCAGTCAGTCATGAAGTAACCATGTGCTGTGAATTTTGACTGTGCAGCACACCTGAACAGCATTTCCATGAAGACCGAAAGCTCAATCCTAAACATCTCCTGTTTGCAGCCAGTTTAATAACAGCCTCTAAGTTAATTGCTACATATCCCCAAAACATAGCTAAACCCCAGACCTATGTTTCTGTCTCTTCTAATAAATGAGAAGCATCTGAAAACTGTCCTACATTGGTTGGTGTCTTTCAAGCGGATAGATTTCTGCTCAGAGGTTTTTATTGGAAAGATGGAAATATTGCTGGTGTGGGCACCCTTTATTCGGTGTGCACGTAACCACTGGTAACGTACTTAAAATGACTATTATGTTTCCCTGGTTTTATTTGTGTCTTCCGTCCCCAGTGAATATTTCCATGGTAATGTGTCTCAGTGCAACTTCCTGGCTTGATTTCTCAAAATATGCTTTAGCAGACAGTTACATTTGAAATGAATCACACATTGCCACTCCCTGGAAAAACACATGATGGCTGATGAAATGTGTGCTATTACTGGCCACTGTAGGAGATTATTGCTGGAGCTAGCGATTCTGCTGCTTGGTGCTGCTCCTAAAAACGTATCTCCTGAGGATGTGTGGGTGATTTTCTCAGGATGAGGCTCTAAGAATGGAGCTTTATATATATATTTTTTTATTAGTCCATAAAAGGTAGATTATCGCAAATGCAGATACTTGCTTAGTTCCATTCAGGCTATTTGTTCAAATTCCTGTCAGCAGGTGCAACTCCAGAAGGGAAATCTATTTATCATTGATTCACTAAAGATGTCACCTGTGGGAATCAGAAATGGGTGAGGGATTAAAATCTGCTGAAATTAATGGGAAGTTTTGGATAATGTACATAGTTAAATAGGATGGAAGAAATGGATGCTACTTCAGCTATATGCACGAAATGTCACCTCTCACCCAGGACTGCCGATTTAATGACACACAATTTTCAACTTCCCTTTGTTTCAAAGCCCAGGTGTTACTCCATTAAGATCTGTTGATGTGACATTTGTGCCTATACCCTGCAGCCTCAAATGCTCTCTCTTCAAACCACAGGGGAAGTACCTGGCCTGTGCTATGCTTCACTTGAAAAAGATTTCTTTGATGTTTATTATTTTGAAAGACTGCTCCTTGGGTTTCTGCAGACTCATCTGTTTCTCACTGGATCAGTCCTTTAGCATCATAACCAAGTTGTTTTATTCTGGTGATGCATTGTTTTCAGCAGCCTGAGATACGCCAAGAGAGCTCACTGTTTCATACTGTGGTTCACAAACCTGGCCCCTGTGCTCTGTTGACCACATTTCTCATTTTCTGCAGCACTGCTGCTCCAGGTCCCTGGACGGGGGACCCTGGCTTGGGAGCTCCCATTCGGACCACTGCAACTTCACAAAGGCCAACAGTGCCAACCCCAAAGCGCAAACCGGCAGCCAGAAATGTGGCAGGGCTGCTGTTTCCAGCAGATCATGCACGCAGGCTACTGACCCTCTGCCATTTCCACCTGTGGGTGATCTGAGCCAGTGTGAGATGATGTCCCAAAAAATTTCCTTTTTAGTTGTGTCATAAAGTATCACTGTCTGGCAGTTGTAGGGAAAAGAAGCCTGCCTGTGCTATTTGACAGGGAGTAACCATGCAAGACCAACTGTCCCATCACCTGGCTGAGCTGATGGAACAACTGAGCCCCTAATCTCTGTCCCTCGCAGGGCTGACCCCACGTTACCCAAGAAAGCAGATTCATGCCCAGCATGCAATGAACCAATCTTAACACGCTCAGGAGAGGTACTGCATTTATTCAATCTGAATGCTCGGTGGACTTTTCCATAAATCAATCACACCAACAGCAGGTTTTTGCTCTTTTTATACACAAAAATCAGAAGTTAGTACTTTTCCATACTATGCCTATTAGATACTGATTGGTTAATGGTTATCATTCAATTATAATACAGCTTACCTAATGCTGCGCATGCTCAGGGGAAGGATCTCAATCCAGGCAGGGGTCTTTTTGACCGGTGGGTGTGTTTTTTAGTATTATAAAGTTCACTTTAAGGACACCCGAAAGTTGGTTTCATTGCCAGGTTAACTGATTGATTCATCATTTTGTCAAGTTGCCAACTAATTCTCAGCACAATTCTATACATTGTCTTTATGGCCCAGGATGTTCTAGTCATTTTCTAGGGCATGGAGAATAAAGCTTAGTCTTTATAAATTTCAATGGCTCACTTAGCCAGTCTTATGATTATCCCCAGGTGTGCAGTAGCTATACCTACTAGCATAATCATTAACCATGAAATTTAGCCAAACTGAAGTATGTCACACGCAGGCCTCCAGCTGCGTGTCTGTGCCGGTAGCGCTGCGGCCAGCGGCCCAGACCGCCCGTCCCCTGCGTGCAGCCGCCCCACGGCAGGGTCAACCCCCGGCGGAGATGAGGCAGGCCCGGCGCAGGCAGGCGGGAGGGATGGCGGGGCAGGCAGGAGCCGCTCGGGGTT